AAAGTTCGCTGATCGGGCCGAAACCAAGTAAGCTCACTTGGAATTGACCCGCCGAGTGCGATTTTCCAGTCGGAATAGCTCCGCAAGTCCCTCGCTTCGAGCTAGCCGCTAAATACGCTCCAGAGAAAGAGTCAAAAAGTGGTCAGAAAAGCTCGTTTTTGACCAGTTTCTGACTGTTTTTCGCCGAGAGTCGGGACCGTATTCAGCGGTTAGCTCGAAGCTCATTGCGCAGTCGTATCCTAATTATTTGGAGGCGTAGAATCGATTCCGCACGGTCTCGACTCTCGGCGAGACTTCCTGAGCCTAGAAACAGACAAAAACTGGGCAAACACGAGCTTTTCAGACCAATTTCTCACTCTTCCCCTGGAGCGTGTTCAGCGAATAGCTCGAAGCGAGGGACTCGCGGAGCTTTTCCGACTGAAAAATCGCACTCAGCGGGTCAATTCCAGGCGAGCTTACTTGGTTTCGGCCCGATCGGTGAACTTCCGATATTCATGCAAAAATTTAGTCCATGTAACCCCGGTCTATTTTTCCCAATTTTGGGCTGAGAAAAAAATTTCAAGATTTCAGTCGTATCCTACGTAGTTGAAGTCGCTGCATTGATTGCGCATGGTCCCGAGGCTCGGCGAGGCCTCTGAGCCGAGAAACGGTCAAAAACGAGTGTTTTTGACTCTGTCGCAAAAGTGCGTTTTTCGGCGGTAACCCGGTCCAGCGGACTCGTGGAGCTTTTCCGACCGAAAAATTGGACTCAGCGGGTCAATTCCAAGCAAGTTTGCTTGGCTTCGGCCCAATCGGCGAACTTTCGATTTTGACCCTAAAAATTTAGTCCATGTAACCCCTGTCCATTTTCTTGAGTTTGGCCAGGGAAAAAAATTTCGAGATGAATGTCGGATCCTACGTAGTTGAAGTTGCTGCATTGATTGCGCATGGTCCCGAGGCTCGGCGAGGCCTCTGAGCCGAGAAACCGTCAAAAACGAGTGTTTGTGACCCTGTCGCAAAAGTGCGTTTTTCGGCGGTAACCCGGTCCAGCGGACTCGCGGAGCTTTTCCGACCGGAAAATTGGACTCAGCGCATCATTTCCAAGCGGACTAGCTTTGTTTCGGCTCGATCGGAGGAATTTCGATTTTAACCCTAAAAATTTAGTCCATGTCACCCCTGTCCGCTTTCTTGATTTTGGCCAGGGAAAAAAATTTCGAGATGAATGTCGGATCCTACGAAGTTGAAGTCGCTGCATTGATTGCGCATGGTCCCGAGGCTCGGCGAGGCCTCTGAGCCGAGAAACCGTCAAAAACGAGTGTTTGTGACCCTGTTGCAAAAGTGCGTTTTTCGTCGGTAGCGCGGTCCAGCGGACTCGCGGAGCTTTTCCGACCCGAAAATCGGACTCAGCGCATTATTTCCAAGCGGACTAGCTTGGTTTCGGCTCGATCGGAGAAATTTCGATTTCGACCCCTGTCCATCTTTCTTGATTTTGGACGGGGAAAAAAAATTCGAGAATATAAGCGAATCCCATGTAGTCGAAGGCGCTGAATCGATTGCGCATGGTCCCGAGGCTCGGCGAGGCCTCTGAGCCGAGAAACGGTCAAAAACGAGTGTTTTTGCCCCTGCCCTGGTGCAAAAGTGCGTTTTTCGTTGGTAGCGCGGTCCAGCGGACTCGCGGTGCTTTTCCGACCGGAAAATCAGACTCAGCGCATCATTTCCAAGCGGACTAGCTTGGTTTCGGCTCGATCGGAGAAATTTCGATTTTAACCCTAAAAATTTAGTCTATGTAACCCCTGTCCATTTTTCTCGATTTTGGACGGGGAAAAAAAATTCGAGATTATAGTCGAATCCCATGTAGTCAAAGGCGCTGAATCGATTGCGCATAGTCCTGAGGCTCGGCGAGGCCTCTGAGCCGAGAAACCGTCAAAAACGAGTGTTTGTGACCCTGTCGCAAAAGTGCGTTTTTCGGCGGTAACCCGGTCCAGCGGACTCGCGGAGCTTTCCCGACCGGAAAATCGGACTCAGCGCATCATTTTCAAGCGGACTAGCTTGGTTTCGGCTCGATCGGAGAAATTTCGATTTTGACCCTAAAAATTTAGTCCATGTAACCCCTGTCCATTTTTCTCGATTTTGGACGGGGAAAAAAAATTCGAGATTATAGTCGAATCCCATGTAGTCAAAGGCGCTGAATCGATTGCGCATAGTCCTGAGGCTCGGCGAGGCCTCTGAGCCGAGAAACCGTCAAAAACGAGTGTTTGTGACCCTGTCGCAAAAGTACGTTTTTCGGCGGTAACCCGGTCCAGCGGACTCGTGGAGCTTTTCTAAGCCGAGGAACGGTCAAAAACGCCCGTTTTGTAGGACTAAATGTTCAATTTATGCGCGCTTTACGCCGAAGGCGCCAACTTGTAGGCTCGGACTCCTCCTTTCATTTGCAAGGGGATTATTTTTGTTACTTTCCGATTAGAGAACTTATGATTTGTCTTGATTGTCTTGTATGATCGAAATGTTTATTCAAACGAATTAACCGAAAATGTAGTTGATATGGTTCCCTTATTCGATTTTTCTCGATTTTCGCAGGGGATAACTTGTGGAAGTTTTTAGACCTGAACATATGACGCCATGGATCATTTTACAGGGGACTTTTTATATTTTGAAAGACTTCTGAGTGTGGTAAATGTGGATTCGGTTTAATATATGACTGTATTTGTTTGTATGGAGCATGATCTGAAGTGAATAAATCCACAGAAATAATTTGTACAACTTTATTCTTAGTTCAGAAAAACTATGAGGATAAAAGTGCAGTGATAACAAACAATTATATGGTTTTTTAAAATATTACATTTGAAGTTACAAAATGGCAGATAAAAATGACTGATGAGATACGATTTTAATGCTGAGAGTACAAAATTTGAATTTACTTTAATCATAGCAATTTTAATTGCTTTTTAGCAGAGGCAGATGTATTTTAATTGGAAGGGATGGTTATGCAGACATCACTACAGTTCAGTTTTACCTTTTGAAAGTTTATATTGCGTTGTAAGATTTTTCCAGGTTAGATTAATAATTAAGAAGACTGCTGACACTAGAATGAGACTCCATCTTAGTTTAGTTTCATTTTGTTTCAGTGAGAGAATGATGAAGTTTTGTGAAGTAATCTAATTCTATATGTTCAGAAAAGAAAAGTGAATTAAGTACATTTCTCCCTACTTTGTCAAATGACTTGGACGCGAATGAGCAGATGGAATGGTGAGATAACCTTTGGCCTGAAGGCGTTGATCATCATTTGTTCAATCTTTATACAAGGATGCAAAATAGCTCCCAGCAAAATGAAAAATAATAGTATTGAAACTGAATCAATTTTAGGTAGCAAAGAGGAGCATATTGGCTGTTGTTGCAGAGGGAAAATGATTTTTTGTAGTGGGGGATGGCAGAAGGTGGAGTATTTCTCTACCTTAATGAAGATTCCTTACTTTAAAAATGGAAAATGAATCAACTCCCACTACATTGATTTCCATGTTTAAAACACATCGCATGAAAAAAGAAGGAGAGGAGTACCTATTTCACTTAACTTGAATTCAACTCCTTTCTGGAATGACCAGTTGGAGAGCAGGTGTATGCATCGCAAATATCAAACATGCCTAATTTTTGATTATCTGGAGCTTATAAGAACTTCGCAATATACTCTATTCATTCATTCTGTCATATTCTATAAGTTTTTTCTTAGTTCATTGATTTTGTAAACAATTTAGAGCCTTAGGCTCATAGTCTCCATTCCAAATGATTCAAGCTGTCTATGAATTTTCTGATTAACTGATGTCACCGATTTTTATGAATAATGATACATACGTAGTGAACAAGAATAAAAATCAATCAGCTCTATAAAACCACTTTACTCTAATCTTGAGGGTTGTCCTGATCTTAGTTCTCTGTGATGTCAACTGTGATGTTGAAAGGATAATCAGGCTTTTTTAAACAATTTCTTTAAGTTTAGTATATATGCTTTGCAGGCTGCGAAAATTTGACAAGGTTTTATCAAAATGAAAAGTAGGTTTAGAGAAATTCTCTTCTGATAGCATACCACACAATTTCTGAAATAAAGGTTTTGGCGTGCTATTCAGTAGAATGTGTGGCTCAAATGGCTTTTAACATCCATTATCAGTTTTCTTGTAGGTCGATTGTAAGACAAGAAAGAAAAACATAAAATTCGTACAAAACAGAGACTTGGAAGAAATATTTATATGTCTCTAAGTTTGTATTAACAAATCCAAAATTTTGAATTATTTGATTGGGTTGTCTTAACTTTTAACTGGTGATACAGGCAATATTTTCTGAAACTTTATTTGTTCATTAACAGTTGTGAAGTGATGGTGCTTGATCTTCTATTAGTTACTTATATAGATGATTTTCTCATTAAGGCACCTCAAACATGACTTGATCAATGAAAATAATGAGAAAAGCTGAGTAGTTACAAGCTGTGGCATGCACTTATCAAACACTAATCTTAAAAGCGGATTTTCTTTGAATCTATATGGGGGCAGAAACCAGGGTGTCTACAGACTTTCGGGGAGAAATCCCCGACGACAATCAAAGAAAAAAAAAATGCTTACATGTTTCATGGAAAATCAACTGAGAGGCTTGGAAGACAAGATGCATAAGTGCAGTTTTAGAAAAAATTGATATATTAATGATGTCAAGTAAAACTAGTCTTAATGCATGTTCTGTGAAAAATTTGCTTCCAAATTCCAATTTTTAAGCATCAAAAAGTCAGTTTGAACTTTCTTTCCACCAGAGGGAACCATATAATTTCGAAAATTCAAACATGTATTGCTCGAAACAGCAAAAACTGCATTTATGCGGCGTGTCCTCCAAGCCCCTCAATTGAAAGTCTCATTGTAAAAGGGAAAAAATTGGTTCACTGATCATAGAGGCCTGAGTTTTGCTGTCTAAGGTCATGATTTTCTGAAATTTTTGTTTTGAAAGTCACTAAAATACTTTGGAAAAAACATGAGAGAGATTCCAGGTTTTTTTTTTTTCTTTTTTTTTCTCTTTTTTTTTCCACAGAATTCTCTGATACTTCTTCCAATTTCCAATTCATGTAGACACCTTGGAGACAATGCTTAAGAATTGATACTATTCTGTGTAGATGCTCCTCATCATAATCAAGTGACTTAGAAATCCCACCGTTTAAGCAAACCAAACCTTTTCAGGCAACTACATATTCGACGATTGTGAGCCTTCATGAAAACAAAGAATGGCTGTGAACAGGGAGAAGATTAATAAATATTGAATTAGCGCTAACTTAACTAACATTATCTACACTCATAATGGGCATTGGCACTTGATGAAAAAATATAATACACATATCTACACTGATACAGTTCAGAGGCTGGCTGAATTCCTACCTCTCGTATATTACCTATACATGTGAAATGATTTCATGCTACGGAATGAAAAAAAAATGTAATAAAAATATACAACTTAGGAACATGTCAAGTTGAAAATTTACTATATAGCACTTTGACTGCAGTGCGATTTTTCACAGACTCTCATACGGCGCAGTAGTTATTTCCTGACGCAAGGTTTTCTTAGCTTTTTTGTTTTATTTTACTACATCTCTTAAGAATGGAAAAGCAATGTTTCTTATCTTCTAATCTGCGTTGATCCACCTGGGGCAAATTGCGAATTTTTGTATCATGAGAGAGTCAAGTTTGAATGTAAAGCCCCACATGCTCCAATTAAACATTGCCAGAATCACTCCTGGAAGGAGTCAAGTGAACAGGAAAAATGTTTGTTCACAGATGTTAAGTTACTTGCCTTCCTGTCATTATTACCTGCAACCTTATCTGGCTTTTATGCCTACAGAAATTTCCAGGACCACTTGACCAGTCTAGAGAATGAGTGGGTCGCACTCATGACAATAGAAAGTGCAAGGGTTTGCTACTTGCTGATTTGTCCACAATTGTTTTCTCCTTACTGCCGCTTACTTAGGTTGCGCTACGCTCAAAGTGTTAAATTTGCAAGCATACAAGTGTACAGAGTGTCTACGGAATTGAGGAAAAAAATTTGTTGCTTGTTTGATTAGCGAACACAGACTTTCTTCGGAAGAAACACTTCTTAACATTAATTATGAAACTGAATTCGAAGTTTTCATTGGGATGGTTTATTGGCCATTAAAATTGAAAGGATACATACTATCTTTGTTTTGACTATCACACATCTAGCCCCACTTGTTGCTGAGAGTTCTCAGTTTTTCTTTTAAGAGTTTTATTCTAATGATTGCAAAAACACGCAAGACTTGTCAGAAATATCGGAAGAAATAATTTATCAAAAGGAATTTTAAAATTTTTGTCTTTTCATGGAATACGAGGACATTTCTTGATTCACTCTACCTGTAGACACTCCAGCATGAATACAAAAATTGTTACTACCAGGAGGAAGGGAGCTATGCATGTCTGATGACAGCAAGTTTTTTCAAATTTCTGCAAAATACTCCAAATTTTAAATGTCAGGACATAAAAAGTATTTATGTGGGTATGATTAAAATACTGCTTACGGACTTTCCTTCAGTCCCAGCAACCAACAAACCTCGGAAAATAGCAATTTAGCCTTCTATGGCAGAATCCTCTAAATTTTTACAGAGCTTGGCTAAATGTTAAAATTACGGCACTTGGTTACTGAAAAATTGGACTTCTCTGCAATTATATCCAGATAGAGAATATTTTAGACACGGTGAAAAAAGTTGGGTACTTGACTGAACAATTATTTCAATTTCCAGTGCAGCGTTTGGTGCATAGAGTGCAAACCTCTGAAGTACTTTCATCAAAACACAGCAATATTTTACAAACTCATCTTAAATTTAATGTGGAATTAGAAAAACTCCCATTCAGACGCTTTTAGTTTTCATGTACTTCCGCTTTTATTCTGAAATTTAATTTTATTCAATGTTGTGGAAAAAATTTGATTAAGTAAATCTTGGGTTTAAAACAATATTGACTATTCTTTTTTCCCAGTCTGTGAATTTGAATGAAGAAAAAAAATTATTCAAAAACAAGAAGTACTAGCTAAGAAGAGGAGAAATTAAATGGAAAATGACACCAAAAATTGCGCCTTGGGTTGGAGTGATAGTGCAAGCTCTAAATTGCAATGAGAATGAGAGAAAGCACTTAGCAGCTGCAATTTGAAACCCTATCTACATGAATTGATACATGGCCATGGATGCATTGAACAAAAAAATATTTAATCCACATAAAAGTATGGTATTTATACAACCACTTGAAAAACTCAACGTACAAATCATTTAACAAAACAACATATTAAAGGAAACAATTATCTAGCGGATGAACTTCCAGAATAAAAATAATGGTTTCACAGAAATAACTTAAGTACTATTATCACAAAGGATGAATTAAACATAAAACTGAGCTAGAACAAAGAAATGTATTGTACAACTGGGAGAAAAATAGTCGGAATCATCTAAAAAATGTACACGTTAGAGGCATTTCTGCTCTTGCTACCAAGTGGGAAAGATAAAGCTAAAAAAATGTAACTATTTCATCTTTCCAGTTCTTTAATTAAATAATTTTTCTTCCCTTACTAACCCTAAGAGCTGTCTGAAATTTGATTGGCAAAAATTCTGAAGAGCATCTCTTGCCAAAATATCCTCAGCTGATCAATTTACTTTGATAAATTGGTAAGTGCTGCAACAAAAGTTGATAAAAGAATACCGCTTGTGCATTTTCGGCACCTCCAACAAAAAAGACACAAGATAGAAAACTCTACAAAATCCTAATTGTGGCTTTGAGAGTTTCTCTGATTCTCTTCATTTTCAGATATTGAATTATCTCAGAAGACTGGTAGAGAGACCCAATCCTACAAAATAAATTGATGGCCGAAAGGCAGGACCAAGTATCTCCGTTTGCGACATGGCAGACTTCCAGTCATATTTTATTTATTCTCTGGAAAACTAATGAATGTGTATTCTTGAAAACTTTCTTGATTTTTCTTCTCTATTAGCAGAATATTCTGTATCAATTCCAAACTAAAAAGTTGACTTTCATTCTCTAGGAAAAAATAAAGTAGGAGCGGAAATTTTGAACAATGCAATGGAGATATGTGGTTTTGCACTTTGATCATCAAAATGTAAGTTATGCACAAATAAGTGCAAAGAATGAGAGGTAGGGGAAAGAGACCTTTCCCCAAATTAGCCCTGCTCCAAAATCATTAGGTCTTGCATATTTTATTAAAACAGTGCAGTAAGTTTAAGGGAATTTTTCATGTGACTACACAAATTCATTGCAAACTGATGAATTGGTGAAATAAACCCAGTATATATCCTCAAGAAAGGATAAAGGAAATGCTAAAACTACAAAAGCACCTGAACAACGAGAATTATGAACAAGGTAATGTCATCATGTCAATCAAAGAAAATAAAAGAAAATGGTCCCAAATTTCTCAGTGTGGTCATTTAACACTGAGAAGCAATAATCAAAAGTATTTGAGTAAGTGTTCATAACAGAGATACTGTTTTTTGCTTGAATTGGAACTGTTGCTGATTGGTCCATCAACAATCAACTAAAGCATGAAACATTTTACCCAACTATCTCAGCGCTAAGACCGAGCTACAGAAATTAGCTTTGAAAGATTGTGTCAAGATAACGATGAGTTTTTTTTCTTTGGCTTTGCATTTAATATCAAAAGAGCTTGGGAAATGAATAGGTTCTCCCAAGTCCTTTGAAATTCCGTAGCAATTTCAACAATATTTTCATTAGCAATTTTGCTTACGATTCAGAACATGAATCATGCGTTAAAAATACCCTTACAAAATAGTCCTTATCTTCATGAAAAAAAAAAAATTCAGCAAGAATCAATGAAGTATTCATAGAATAAAAGCACTGTCTTTTTTCAAACCAGACACATTTCTGGTCGATTTGAGGGGCGGATATAGGAAAAAGAAGGAGGCTCTTACAATTAGACTGAGCAGAAGTTTTTGCTTGTGACAAGTTATTTCCCCAAAACAAAAAAGCAGGTGCTTGGAGGCCTTTGACTGCATGCTACTGCAAATTTCAGCTGAGTGATCCAGCAAATTTTAGCTCAATTAAAACTTGTTTGTGAAGGGTAAGGGTAACCTGACCTTGACAGAACCACAGAAATTCCTCTCTTGATTTTGTCAAAAAACCAAAGTGTAAATAATTTTTAGCGCATGTATTCATTAGTTAAGACTGATAATTCAAGTATGGTGCCTTGAAACATTTGTGCCTTCATTTGATTTACATGAGAATGAAGTTTCAAGCCAGTTTTGTAAAATACAATAATGTGTAAAAGACTGTTGGGGCGGAAAAAACCCTCATGTAATCAAATCATAACACATTACTTTGTGCTATGTAGAACAGATCAAAATGAGGCCAGCACTTCCCATGAACAAGAATCTAATCCAAAGAAATACAGTTAAACCTCTCTTAAAAATTGTTGTTCAATTAATAACAATAAAATATCACAATTTCACATGAAAATACGCATGTGAGAGATAAAAATCTAAACAAAGGCAAGATTTTTTCCGGTTCATGACTGAATGGTCAAAGTGACGACACCTTGTGCTTTTTTCAGGATGTCGACGGCTTGCTGGTGAGTCAATCCTTCCAGGCTCAATCCGTCAACCGCTACGATTTGATCGCCTCTTTTGAGTAGACCGTTCAAGTCGAAGAATACAGTTTTCACGTAGATTGGAAGGTTACCATGGGGACTGCAAGCTCCACCTACAATGCTGAATCCAAGACCATCAGGACCTCGCTCCAAAGTAACCGTCCTCAACGTTCCTTCAGTTTCTTCCCCTGTGCTATCTTCATTTTCACTGAAAATATGACAGGAAATGCACTAATTAGTAACAAAATTACAGACAAGAATTCACTGAAAAGGAAACGGAAGCATAATGAAAACAAAAAATCATTCAGCCAAACAGAAGAATTTCTCCCAGAGACAAAGAGTTGATAGGAATAAAAATCTTTGACTCTGTTGGTTTTCCTGGTTGCCACGCTAAGGAAAAACGCCATAAGAGCCTTCAGGCATAGCCAGAATTCCTTCGATAAAATACAAATTTATTACGAATGTTGCAAATACTTTCCTCCCAATTTTTCAAACAATTTTTTTGCGATTCAATCTAAAATATTTGAAAATTTCAAGGAATATGCAAATGTTTCTTCCGACATAAATTCTTTAGTAGGGGATATTTAGCAACATTCAAATGTTCATACAGCGTTTTTCCTTTGCACAACAGATTTAAAGATAGAGCCAGAATTTGCACGAAACCCTGATAAAGGCCTTATTTTCTGATTTCAATAATTTCCAGAGATTTTTGCCAGACACTTTTCATTAGCTCTGCTCCATCCAGAGTATTTTTACAAGCATTACATCTATTCTGATGATCTAAATTTTGTTTCAGATTGATATAATTTAGCATTTCATAAAACAATGTTTAGATAAACCTCAATTACATTCATGTTTTCGACGTATTTTTACTGCAAGCATGGAGAAGTTAACTACGACAAACGTCACCTGAAACACTGAGTACTGTTTCAAGAGCTCCCTACAAGAGAAACATACTTACAGTACCTACTCTTTAATCCTGTAAACACGATGACTAAAATATTGTAATGAAAGTGCTTTTTGCATTCACTTTTTTGTACAACTAAAAATAATGCACATATGTACCGCTACTGTACCGCAGCCTTAGAATATCCATATTACAATAATTTTTATGGTGCAGAACTATTTGAAAGTATGATTTCAGCCCTTTTTCATATCAAATAGTTGGCGATACACAAACTTGGATTTTAGACTTTGGTAACTTCAAGAAAATCCAAAGTTTTCGGGGACGGCTTGATTCAACAGTCTAAGACTCCACCTCAACTCAAAGTTTGTATTTGATGAAAAGAAAAACTTTTTGAAGAGAATTGAAGGTTATTTTTACCTATAACTAATTAAAAATAACATCTTCGTGAAGTTAAAATTCAAGAATCTATGCATCTAAGTGCTTGATAAGTGGGACTGCTGTTTGAAAACTTTAGATGCGCCAAAATATAGACTTCGTTAGTTTAGGGACATTTCAAAGTATTCAAATCTAAAAGTGCATCAATAAAAATTAATACGTGGAACAGAGAGATCACAGACTTTTGAATCATTTCATATACTATACTCTTCAGTGATGTATCTTCGTCATATTCCAAGCTTTAGTATGATAGGCAGAAAATGTCTGAGAGGTGCTATTTCATAATAACCTTGGTGATGATCAAAAAAAAATAAAAAAAAAAAAAAAGTGTATTTTCTTCAGAAAATACGCTAAAAAGAGGCTAATTGAATTGATAGATAAGATTCTTACCGTGATTACTTTTTCCTAGTGGATTAAAGCACAGCCATGAAAAAAGATAAAAAATTAGAAAGAGTGATTACCAAAAAACCTTAGGACAGATAAAACAGAATGAAATGAAGAGAACATTTGACCAAAGCCAGATTAGGCAGAGACAATGAGAGTTGAAAATGCAGTTATCTACCAGAGCCAACATTACAAAGGATTTACACACACAGGCTTTGAAAGTATACATTTCTGGAGCATCTGAGTGCTGAAGTGGTCATTACTGTCATGAAGTATACAGTTAGAGGAAAGAGGAAGAATCATGAATATAAAAGGACAACTCAAATACAGAGGAACTTTTATTAAGGTTCTGGGTTCTTCTTCGAGTAGGACGCAAGATTGGTTGTCATAATACCCTCATTTATGAACAATTTTCTCAAACTGATTTCGGTGGACACACAGGTCGTAAGACAGTATGTTGAAATTTTTTAGCCAACATGTTTGAAAAATTCAGCATAAAACTGAAAATCTCAATACAGAGGGAAGGAGCTCTTACACAAGCACAATTTTCCCTCAGAGAGATACGCTGTTTGGTGCAACACTAGTAACAACCTTTCAGGAAAGCAACTGCAGACGCCTTTCGGCCTTATTGGGTCAATCCTCAGTGCAGCGCAGTATTGATAATGCAGTAGCAATAATTTTTCTCCCTGCATTCAAATCTTCAATTTAAAAAAGTTTTTAAAAATGATAAATATTTGAAAATATGACTATACAAGTTTTCACAAAACATGTTGGAAAAAGATATTGTACGTATTGTGTAGATAGCGCCAGTCTCTCTCCTCTTTCTTCAGTTCCTCAAAATAAAAATAAAAATTCGATCTGACAGCAAAATCTGACAATAACTCCAATATCATGATAAATAGAAGTTGATAAGAAACTGGTCAACAGAAGGAGAAGCCTTTATTTGGACTTAAGAACTTTGTGCATTGGACATCTGGTTTGATGGGACATCTTCCAAAAATCATTAAAATCCTGCAGCATGCGTACTTATATGTAAAAATTCAACAAAATTGTATTCACTAAAAGTCTAATTTTTTATATGCTGCTTGAACCTTCCTGAACTTGATATCCGTTGGGAATAGCATGCTGATTCGTCTCAGAGACACAAGTAACTTTCAAGGTAATCTTAAGTCAAAGAAGATTCATGGAGCATTTTAAAGTTTCTAGTTAAAATGAGCCTCCTTTAATGTCATTAATTCTAGACGATTGGAGAGCAGAAAGATCCTCTATAAGCATTTCATAGCTCAAGTGAGCGGAGAGTCAAAATGAGTGAGACCAAACAATCCGGAGAAAAAATAATTTATGGCAAACTTAGGATTAGAGAAAAGGAACAGGTGGGAAGAAATAGGAAAATTAATCTAAGAATTAAATTTTAGAAATGGATGTCAGCAACAAAAGCCTGGCCTTGGCCTACAAAATTTCATTCCAGAAGAATTAATCTATCTTTAAGCAGGTAAAATCTTTGCCTATAAGAAGGGAATGGGTATCAGTGAGAAATCTTTTACACTTCAAGAATGGCACACATCATATTTTTGGAAAGAACAAGATTCAATTAAATGTCATTAAAAAATTTGTAACAGACAGATGATGCTGCCTCCTTACACAAGAAATGAAATTATTTGATTTTATGGGACTGGAAAATAACCTATTAGAGGCATCAATGATTTTACAGATGAGAGAAAAAGTGAAGCCAAGTCAAACGGTAATTTTTTCCTTTCAAAAAACATACTCCACTTACTATGTTTCTCTCCTTGGGAATTCATGAACAGCAATAGCTGAACTATGACTAAAATATAGAGTGTGAGAGAAAAATTTAAAACCGTCCCACTCCAAGTTGAGAGTAAGACACGACTTGAGAAAATGAAAAACAAAAAGTTGATTTGAAAAACTGGTTTTTATTTATTGATATTCCTAGCTTTTCTCTCGAATTTTCGTTAGACTTTCAAGTTCAGTCTTTTAACTTTTCCTTTTTAAGCAAGTTAAAACATAGGCTATACAAAATAAAAGCTAAAAATCAATATCACAGTCAAATCATTTGTGAACCAGAGAAGCAAAAACAAAACCTGAAACACTGCGAGTGAGGATAAATTACTGCAACACTACAATTCTATTGACTGCACTTTGAGTAGTTCTCACTCGGAAACATAAAGAAAGATGAATTAAAAAATGAATAGCTATTTACAATACTTCGGAACAAAGGCACCAGTTATGGGGTTGAAACTTTCTTCATGCTCTCCACAGTCAAATTACTTACATAAAGAAACCTACTTTATTATGTAAGAAATCTAAAAAAACATTATATATGATACTGGTGATAATTCCTTGTGCAGAGGAGGTTCAGGAGATAAAAAAAAATGAAGGAGGGGGCAAGGGCGGAATAAAGACATGTGATTGTTTATGCATTGTTGGCGCATAAAAACCGCTGAGTCTAGGTTACAAAGATACAATCACATTCAATTTATGAGGAATGCCGAAAAAATATCAGTAAAAAATAGGAGAGGATTAGAGACCCTAAGTCTTTAAAAATTGGCATACCCACGGGACTAAACCAAACTATACACCGAGAATTTGAGGTTGAAAATTGTGATGTCATTGAAAAAGGTTGACTTTGGTGTTTTCTGCAAACAGTAGGAGATGCATTCTTTCAAATTTTTTTCTTTTGGACCAAAATCGTAAAAAAATATCGTTTTTCAAACACATATATTTGATTGCTGCAGAAGTTGGCTTCAAAGTATGTGCATAAAAAGAGTTGTTTTTCTCCTTTGTGCTTTCTAAAAAATAACGGCAAAAGCGAAGGACTACGCACAGAATGCCCAGTTATTCAGCGCTAGGCAAGTATCAATTTTGTTTGATATGTTGTTACTTGCAACCACTCGAACCCAATGTTCTATCAAAATCTGAGTCACTATGTGTTGTCGTCAAAAAAGCAGGGTTGAAAAGTTAATTTTTTGGCCTTTTACATGAATTTTCTGAAGTAGATGTGAGGCTGTTGCAATGTGTGTTTAAATGCTGCGCTGCACGTTGTTATCATTCAGGAAAAATTAGATTTTTTCTGTATGTCTTATCTTCCTGATCTGCGAGGAAACAAAAGCTCTCCTCAATCACCAATGAGAAAAAATTGCAACATTACTACTATATATTACATGTAAAAACGCCAAAAATTCACTTTTCATCCCCACTGAACTCCAGATTGGCACGTGACAAGTGCGATTTCAAAAGCTCACTGTGCTCAAGAAGCCGTAAGAAACATCATAAATAAGTCTATGTTCAGCTAGCGCCAAACTTCTTGGTGATGCATGCGTACTTCTTTCTCTATTCATATTGTTAAACATGATTAAGACCCTAAGACCCTTATGGATTCATAATCCATTGGATTTGTCTAAATGTAGGCTCTTTTGTTTTCCCGAAGGAAATTTTGGCCATTGAATTTGGCAAAAATTCAA